GAGGGGGAGGGGGAGGGGGGAGGGAATCCCAGCTCAGCCTCAGCATGCTGTGTGACTTGAGACAAGTAGCTTGACTGCTCTGGGCCTGGTGGGCCACCACCCACCCCTGATCATCTGTCTCCACAGGGCCCACCTTTCCAAGGACAGTGACTTCTACATGAATTACAGGGGTCCTAGCCCAGACCCTCAGCCTGTCTACTGCAACCTGGAGTCCTTGGGTCGTGCCCTGCCTGCTGAGGAGGAGTACGTGGTCCCCGGGCGCTGAACCTGGGATACCACTTGGGTTCCCACCTGGAGTTTCAGGTTCCAGCTGGTCCCTGGCCTTCCTTTGCCCATCTGAGCCATGGGGCCAGAACACTGAACTTTAAGGCTCCCCAACATTCTGCTCTCAGACACCAGAGGAGCACAGGAGGCATCCCAACAGCAGAAAGAGGGTCAGTGACTGAACACTGCTGTCCCTCTCCTGTTGGCATGCCAGTGGCACTCAATAAATGCTTTGGGACAAATGAGGCTGCTGGCTCTGGGCTACCACTGGGTAGGGATTTCTTGAGTTTCAGAGAGTTCTGGGTCTCCATGTGCCATTCCCAAGGTGATCTGCACCACGGTCCTCCCACTTCTTCTCCTGCAGGCTCAGGTCCTGCTAGGCACTGAGACTCCCAACTGCCCTCACTGCAATCTACACTGGTCCCCAGGGCTCTAACTCATCAGTACCCACATCCTAGGACTCGCAGCCTGAGTGACTCCACCTGCCCCTACCTTGTGCTCCTTTTCCTCTGGGTCCCGTCCTCACCAGCACATAACATATGAACAAGTAAGGGCTGGAGAGACGGCTCAGTGGTTAAGAACACTGGCTGTTCTTGCAGAAGACCCAGGTTCGAATCCCAGCACCCACATGGCATCTAACAACTGTCCATAACTCCAGTTCCAGTCCCAGGGAATCCGACAGCTTCTTCTGTCCCCTGTGGGCATTGCACGACACGGGTACACTTACCTACATGCAGGCGATATACACATACACATTAAATAAAAATAAATATTTTTTAAAAAAGAACACAAAACATATGAATAAATGAAAAACTCAGATCAAGAGCACTTACCTTGTCTTTCACGGCCCAGGTGCAACTCCACGCTGCTGAGACACCTTCCAGGGTTCTCCACAGACAAAGCTACTCCGCTGCCAGAGCTCAGTGTGTTTCTAGAGGTTGTGACACGTCCTGCTGGCCTAGGTCCTTCCAACCTGGTCAAATAGGATGCTGGTTCTAGGGCGTCAAGGTGGTTTGGAGAGCGGAGGGTAAAGTTCCCAGAGGGAGACAACTGAGTTTGAACAAGGTTCCATGTTAAGAGGAGAATGTGCAGTAGGTTTCAAAGGACGTCTAGTTCAGGAAGTAGAGAAAAAAAGATAATTTGGGAGAAGCTAGAGCAAGAGGCTGGAGTTGATGTTTGGGACCAGAACCAGTGATGTGCCTACTGGCTTGGAGCAGAATTTAATCCAGAGGCTTCCCAATGCTTCATTTTCAAAGGTTTTGCCATTGGACCCCCTGTCCATTCCCACCGCAGGACCTTTGCACCTGTGGTGTCTGCTTGGCCCCTGTGCCTCTCAGCTCTTCCCCAGTCCTATTTTCTTATGTTTTAGCTCAGACACTCCCCCTTGGTGGCTTCTTCACCATCTGAATCACCCTGTTCCCTTCACTAATGGGGGGGTGGGTCTCGGTGGGCAGATGTGTGAGGCAAGGCTGGCACACGAAAGAGGTGTCACCTGGAGATGAAGTGTGGGTGAATGTTCCCCACAGCTGAGTGACTTTTCCTCCCTCTTTTCATGTGCTGTAGAGGCAGTGGGCTCACGCCGTACAGGGAGGGTGATATCCACCTTCCAGCCAGGGTCAGCGTTACCAAATCATGAACTTGATGACCCTGGGCTGCCGTATTTGAAAAGCCGACTCACAGGGAGGCCCAATTGGAGGACGATTGAGGCAGGGTCAGACACTGCCCTTTGGACAGAGATAGATATCAACCTAAAAACTTGTTTTGGCCGGTTGTGGTGGTGCAGGCCTTTGATTCCAGCACTCAGGAGACAGATGGATCTCTGTGAGTTTGAGGCCTGGAATTCTGATAGTGAGTTCCAGGTCAAGTGAGGATACAGAGAGATGCTGTCTTAAAAAGACAAAAACAGGGGCTGGAGAGATGGCTCAGAGGTTAAGAGCACTGACTGCTCTTGCAGAGGACCCGGGTTTGAGTCCCAGCACCCACATGGCGGCTACGAGGCTACAAACCGTCCTTAACTCCAGTTCCAGGGGAATCCGAAGCCCTCTTCTGATCTCTGTGACATTGCACGACATGGGTGCACTCACATACATGCAGGCAATACATTCATACACATAAAGTAAAAATAATTTTTTTTTGTCTTT